TAATATTAAACGAAGCCATTCTGCTCGCGCATTTTGCTTCAAAGATTTCGTATAGTCGCTGTCTGAGGAGGCGACAGATAGGGATTCAAAATGACGAAAGTTTATACTTCCTACTTGTCGAACACCCGTAAAAAACGCAGTTTGAGCCAGGCATTACATTTCCCTGTGTTGATCGAGTGGTTGAGAGCTTGGACAGCAAGATTATAAGCAAAAAACAGCCCTCGAGTCTGCGATTATATTGTTATTTGTATATGCGCTTTCAGCATCGATGCACGATATTGGTCACATGACCAAAATAAAAAGTGAACAATAACATATTTTGTGACGTCACCGGCTAGCATAACCAGTCTCCTTCTATTAACTGTGGATAGATAGATAGGTATAGATAGATAGATAGATAGATATATATAGATAGATATATACATATGATAAATTTAAAGAGGTTAGTACTAGGATACAATCAAAAACTGATCAAATAGGATTACCTTGAATGTTTCCTTCCACTCGTGAGCTCAGAACACAAGTTCAGTTCGACAATCAAGCGGATCCAATTTGGATTCATAGGCACAGCCAACACTGAACCATCTCGCCTCACAAGTGTTCCGTCCAGGCCTTGTGACCCTGGATGGGCATTTAAAAGGAAGGAAACCACACTGTAAACTATAATTCTCCATTGATGATGCCTTACTGCTCAACCAAAACTTGAATGCTGTAGAAACCCATGCACCTATATTTATAGGCCACATTTAACAACAACTTTTTACCACCAAACAAAGAAATCAATCAAGCAATAAATGTTAATACAGGTGACAAGGCAAAAACAAAATTACCTACCGCGCAATGCTTGAATGGGTAACAATGGTACCTGTGATGTTAATGACCAGGCCAACGTGCAAACAACAAAAAATATATAGAATATGAGGTAATAAGGGAAGTTTGCAAATTAACACAAGCTTAAGAGATCCATAGCACAATATATATATACATATGATAAATTTAAAGAGGTTAGTACTAGGATACAATCAAAAACTGATCAAATAGGATTACCTTGAATGTTTCCTTCCACTCGTGAGCTCAGAACACAAGTTCAGTTCGACAATCAAGCGGATCCAATTTGGATTCATAGGCACAGCCAACACTGAACCATATCTCGGCTCACAAGTGTTCCGTCCAGGCCTTGTGACCCTGGATGGGCATTTAAAAGGAAGGAAACCACACTGTAAACTATAATTCTCCATTGATGATGCCTTACTGCTCAACCAAAACTTGAATGCTGTAGAAACCCATGCACCTATATTTATAGGCCACATTTAACAACAACTTTTTACCACCAAACAAAGAAAACAATCAAGCAATAAATGTTAATACAGGTTGTTGTGTTGGCTGTGCTGGCTGTGCCTATGAATCCAAATTGGATCGGCTTGATTGTCGAACTGAACTTGTGTTCTGAGCTCACGAGTGGAAGGAAACATTCAAGGTAATCCTATTTGATCAGTTTTTGATTGTATCCTAGTACTAACCTCTTTAAATTTATCATATGAATATATTGTGCTATGGATCTCTTAAGCTTGTGTTAATTTGCAAACTTCCCTTATTACCTCATATTCTATATATATATATATATATATATATATATATATATATATATATATATATATATATATATATATATATATATATATATATATATATATATA